TTACCTAATATTCGTCATTCATTGTCCCAGGAGTAGTCATTTGCACAAGTGTACATCCAGCTCTTTATATCTAACCAGCGCTTTGTCTCATTTTATTCTGATGACCAAGATTTCCTTTGAATTTTGAGACCAAACTAGTATTTTTAGAATTATTCATGCATAGGTATCTGGATTTTTAAAATAAACTATTCACCTTCCCTGCTAGAATGTAAAATTTGGAATAACAGGGATATCTTCTTCATTGTTATATAGCCAAGACTAAAAAAAGATTGTTTGAAAACTAGTAGGGAATTCCTCAGTACATGATTTGGAATGGATGGTTTGGGGTATGAATGGGTAAAAGCAGAGGGTCAAAGACAGAACTTTAGCAGCTCTTAGATGTTTTAATTCACCTCATATGGGAAACAATTTCTACATATGTTTCCTCTTTTTCCTTCCCCCAATTTCTAAATAACTTAGTCTTCTCTCCAAGAGATTTCTGATATAATGTATCTGTGTCCTTGTTGTTAGGTAGGTTATAAAAATAGAAAAATAAAATTCAAGAAATTATAGCCTTCGGGATAGCAAAAGTAAAATTTTACTGTATCTTTTACAACTTCCCAGAAAAGAATCTACCATGCATGAAGAATTAGATTAATGTAATTCAAATTAAATGAAGCTATATTTGCAGCTCTACTAAGAGACTATAGATATATCTATACTATATGAATATAGTCATAGACCCATAGGGACACTAAAATGTAAGTCAAGTCTTTGATTCCTTCTCCTCCTCTCTTTAATTTTAGATGAGGATACCAACTCAAGTCTATGCATCAAATTTTCATTTCCTGGAAAAACATACAGATTTTGTGTACAGATTTATTTTATTCCAAATTGTCATAGTGTATGAATTAGACTGTGTTGTGTTTGAACCCATAAGAACTGAAATAAGTGTCAGAACTGTATTATCTGTAGCTCTCTGTCCAACCTTACTCCTCGACAGCAGATTTAGTGATTTGTGGCTTTTATCCTGCATGGATAAGTAACATCAAAGAGTGATTCGAGCACACCCCTCCCATCCTTTTCCTCATATGTGATCAACTATTTTTCTTGATGATATGAGACACAGCATGAAATAAATTATAATTTTTCAAATGTACTATAGTACATGTATCCTTGTGAGAGAAAGAGAGAGCGAGAGTAAGAAAGCACCCTCCAGAGGGGATGGCCATACTGCAGTACCTGCTCCATTCTCTTTTCAGGATTTTGGGCATGCATGTACATACACCTGGTGTGGTTTTCAAACTGCTGGGTCCAGGGCTTAAAAACAGCACAGTCAGTCATGCAGGAAACAGCCACCATAACCACTATGCCACTGGCTAGTCCAAATTATCATAAATTTTATCATTTTTAAATGTAGCTGAATATATTAATTCTTTATATAGTGTATTCAGATTTTAGGGTAAAGGCTACTCATAAATTACTTTGAACATATGATATCTCAATTTTATGAAAAACATATCTCATCCATTATGGATAAATCCTTCATAAAAATTTGGGATGTTGATGTATACTTGTAAACAAAACAAAAACACCCCAGTATCATACTTTACCATTTATTTTACAAGATTCCTTTGCTGTCTTTTATCATGTCCTCATTCTTTGCATGTATGCATTTACTTTCTTTTTTGAACTAGATTAGATTAACTACCATGAAATAACCAATACTTGGACTAACCTTTTCCCATTAATACGAACATTCCCAAATTGGTTTCATAAAAACGACTGCCACACATAATATTTACAAGAAAAGTAGGTAATTTTTGAAAGATTTCTTATGTCTCACTATGCTCCCTGATTCAATATCATTAGATTATCCTAATCTAATCTAGTACTCAAACTGTGCAGCTTGCCAGGTGGGATCTAGCACTTTAAGCTTCCTGCCACCTTCAGGCCCTGAGCAATGCCAAGCTCTTTACAATGGCATCTAAGGCCTGGATGACACCTGGCCCTCTATCAACCCAGCTCTTGGCATCCTTCCCCCTTCGTTTGCCCCCTCAGTGATACTAGTTTGCTTTCTGTTCTCCACCCTGGCAGCATATTTAACTTTGGTCATTTGTGCTTTCTGTTTTCTCTCTACCCATGTTCTTCCTAAGTATTAAATGGTTTTTCATCTCTTTCAAGTCATTCTTTTCTTTATTTTTTTGAGAGATTTTTGCTACAGGATATGTGTATTTGCCAGAGAGACAGAGAGATAGAAAGTAAGAAATCCCCCCTTGAGGGGAGAGCCATGTTGCAATCCCTTCTCCATTCTCCTCTCAGGACTTTGGTCACACACTCATACATGTGTGCCTGCTGTGAGTTTCAAGCTGCTGTGTCCAGGGCTCAAACTGTGATTGACTATGTGAGGGTACAGCGACATAACCATTACGCCATCTGATGGTCCCTTCAAGTCCTTTTTTTATAGACCACTTTTTTTTTTGGATAGGATTTTGCTACAGGGCGTGAGAGCTCACTAGAAAGACAGAGAGAGACAGAAAGCGAGAAATCACCCCCCAGGGGGGATGGTCACGCCACAGTCCCCTCTTCTCCATTCTCCTCCCGGGATCCTGGGCACGCGTGCACACACGCCCGGCATGAGTTTTAAGCCACTGGGTCCAGAACTTGAACCACGGCCAACCACATGGGAGTTCAGCGACATAGCCATTACACTAACTGCTGGTCCCTAGACCACTTTCTAAGTATAGCCTGCTGACCACCCTATTTCAAGGGGCCCCAATTCCACACAATGCTTGAACTATCTCATTCCTTTCTTGCTGAATTTTCTTCCTAAGAATTAGTCATCTTCTCACATCTTATATCATCTGCTTTTTACAATGCTATTGATTTTACTTCTTAATTTCCACTTTAAATATATCCTCTATAAGGACAGAGAATTTGTCCATTTCATTTATTATTGTCATCCCTGGAGCTGAGGACAGTACCTGGTTAATAGTAGGTGCTCAGAAAGAACTTGTTGAATAAATGAATAAATATTATATTTTAATGTTCCTTTTTACTTTTGTAAATTAAGATGTAAAATGCATCTTAAAGTGCAACTGTAAGATGTAACAATCTCATGAAAAATGACTAAACTACTCTAGAATTTATTTTTTAAATTTTCTATTTTGTTTATTTGCCTATAGCTCTTTCCATTGGGTTTTCATAAGAGATGATCCATTATTTTAAAATATTTAATCAGGGAGCATAATGAGGCATATTATACCTTTCAAAATTTACCTACTTTTCATGTGAATATTATTTGTGGCAGGAGTTTTTATGAAATCAATTTGGGAATGTTCGTATTAATGGGAAAAGTTTATTCCAGGTATCGGTTATTTAATGGTAGCTAATCTTACCTAGTTCAAAAAAAACAGTGTAAACACTACATAAAAAGAATGAGAACATGTTAAAAGAGAGCAAAGGAATCTTGTAAAATAGTGAATTATGATGCAGAAGGAGTGTTTTCATGTCTGCCTACAAGTCACTGTTTGACACCCTTCAGATGGATTAGCTCATCTTATTCCCCCAGTAACTAGGGAAGTCGGTATGGTTATTGCCCCTTTTTACACGTGTGAACATGGGAACAAAGAGCAGTAGAGAAACTTGCTCAAGCGCATGCACTAGTACAGAGATATTACTGACAGTCTTCCAGAGAGGTGGAGACAATAGGATATATTTATCTAAGAGGAGATGCATTGGGATAATTGGTTGGTGTGATTATGGAAGCCAAGAAGACTCACAATCTGCCCTCTACAATCTGGAGACCCAGAAAAGCTAACAATATCATTAAGCTTAAACCTAAACGTCTAAGAAATAGGGGAGTTGATAGTCTAAGTCCCCGCGTCTGATGACCCAAAAAGCAGAGGCTCAGAATTCTGAGGGCAGGAGATGGATGTCCCAGCCCAAGGAGAGACTATTTGCCCTTCCTTGGTCTTTCCGTTCTATTCAGGCAGTAGATTGAATGATGTCACCCACATTGGCGAGGGTGGATTTTATTAATTCATTTACTGATTTGAATTCTAATCTCTTCTGAAACACCCTTGCATACACACCCAGAAATGATGTTTTACTGGGACCAGCAGTTTAACATAATGGCTATGTCGCTGGACTCCCACGTAGTCGACCGCGGTTCGCGTCCCAGACCCGGTGGCTTAAAACTCACTCCGAGCTCGTGTGCGTGCGTGCCCAAGATCCTGAGAGGAGACTGGAAGAGAAGGGATTGCAGTGTGACCATTCCCCCTGGGGGGTGATTTCTCGCTTTCTGTCTCTCTGTTTCTCTCTGTCTGTCTGGCAAGCGCATGCACCCTATAGCAAAAACCTCTCCAAAAAAAAAAAAAAAAAGAAGAAATGATGTTTTACTAACCATCTGGGTATCCCTTCATCCAGTCCAACTGACACATATGATTCAGTGTCACAGTGGAGGGGCTGCACTACATTTTGTAAGTTGTCTATTTGTTAGGACAATTATATTTATATACTAGCACATGATTGCAAATAAGATAAAGTTTAGGTTTTGTCTGGTTCTCATGGGCATGGCATTGAGTCTTCTTCTAGACCTTGTATAAATTCCATGTTTTAAAAATGTATTTTGTGGGGCCAGCAGGTAGTATGGTGGTTAAGGTACCAGACTCCCATATGGTCCTCCCACAGACTCCCACTGTGGTTCAAGTCCCAAATCTGGAAGCTTGAAAATCACACAAGGTACATGTGCGTGTTTGCCCATAATCTCTGAAGACAATGTAGGAGAAGGGATTGTGGCATGGTCATCCCCTTTGGGGGAATGAGGAGGCGATTTCTCACTTTTTCTCTCTCTGTCTCTCTGGTGAGCACATGCACCCTATGGCAAAAACGTAAAAAAGACAAAAGAAAAAAGAAAAAGAAAGAGAAAAAGATAAAGGAAAGAAAAAAAAGAAAACAAAATAAAACTCTGTTCAAGTAATCACTGTAAAACTTTAATAATCTCTCTCTGTTATTTTAAGCTCTATGTGGAGGATACATTCATGGGACAAGTGGAACAGTTCTTTCTCCTGGATTTCCAGATTTTTATCCAAACTCTCTAAACTGTACATGGACTATTGAAGTGTCTCATGGAAAGGGTAAGAACATGGCATGTGTCTCAAACATACAGAATGATAAATCAAAGATAGTTCATACAAAGAAAAAAAAAGTATTAATGTGTGAAAAAGTAAGATAATTAATTTCTTCATATATTTTAAAAAGTTAATTTTAGGGACCAGCAGATAGCATAATGGCTACATCGTTGGACTCCCATGTAGTCAACCATGGTTGGAGTCCTGGACCTGGTAGCTTAAACTCACACTGGGTGCATGTGCACCCCAGATCCCAAGAAGAGAATGGAGGAGAAGGGATTGCGATGTGGCCATACGCCCTTGAGGGGTGATCTCTCACTTTCTGTCTCTCTGTCTTTCTGGCGAGTGCACACACTCTATAGCAAAAACCTCTTCAAAAAATAAATAAATAAGAAATAAAATGTTAATTTCATTTTTCTGAATAATTTTTTTGGAAGAAAATGGTCTTTCAATTATTGGTACTCCAGGCAAAAGAGTTCTTGTTTTCCTCTCTATCATTTAACTTGCATATATATACATGTGAATATGAGCTTGGAAATTAGTTATTATGGTAAGCAATAGAGACATTGATTAAACAAAATCTGAATATTGGTTTAATAGAAGGAAATAAGCAAGTTTTTCTACTTCTAATTTTTATGCTAAATCTATGATAATTTTTGTACTAGCTTTAAATTTACTCAGTTTTATCACACATAATAAATCACTGATCTTTACATAATCCAGTGATACCTCATATAATACATATAATTATCATCATATTTTAAATCAGCACCATATAGATCAGTAAAATTTGCATTTTGTGCAGGAGTTGTAGATTATAAGCATCGCATTTAAGATTATACCCTGGGTTATTTTATGAGTAATTTTATCATTTTTAAAGAATCTATTTTGAATTTGGATCACATAAATATACTTCATAGACTACATCTTTTCACATAAATTTAAACTTGACACAAAGTTGACATATTTTATTATATATGCTATATTACATTATGTTACTATAGGTGCATGTGAGAGAAGAGCTTGACCCTGAAGAAAATTAATAAAGAAACAGATTATGAATAATCAAGGTTTTATTATCATAATAATTTGTATTTTTATAAAAAGGGACCTATTAATAGCTAATGTTATTCATGTCACTATAGGAATCCAGAAATAACGCATTGTGGGTTTAGGTCAGATGTATTAAGAGGATATGAAACAACAATTTTTAGGCAATTTTGCCTCCTTTATGTAAATTTACAAAATTAGATTTCTGATCTAAGATTTTTTTTTTTTGAGAGATTAATTTTTTCCCCCATAAGGCATGTGTACTCACCAGAGAGAGAGAGATAGAAAGCAAGAAATCATTCCTCTACTCCATTCTCGTCTCAGGATTTGGGGTATACTCATATGTACCCAGCATGAGTTTCAAGTTGCGAGGTACAGGACTTGAATTGTAGTTGGCCATGTGGGAGTCCAGTGCCTTAACCACTACACCATTTGCTGGGCCTGCTAAGACTATCAAAAAGGCATTTATCATTATAAACAGGAAACTTATCTGGTCCTCTGTCCCTTTGGGAGTAACGTTCTCCCTAAGGACCTAGGAACTATTCTTGAATGCAACTCACTGTAAAATCCTGATCTATTCTCTGGGTACATCCACATCTACAACTCTATCTGTATCGACATCTATATCTGTACCTATATTCACAGCTACGTCTGCATTTATATCGACTTCTCTATCCACATGTGCATCTCTAGCCATATCCATTGCTATCTCTCCACCCACGTCTGCATTCCTATCTCATGTATGTATATCCATATCTACTCTGTATTCACGTATGTTTATAGTTATCCATATCCATAGCTATAGCTACTTTCCTATCAATATGTATAGCTGCGTTTATAGATACGGAAGCATTTGTTTTGGTTGTGCATCTCCTTCATTTCTAGAGTCACACTTTTTCTACATGTTTTTCTTAGGTTTACCTAGTAATATTTTGTTCATATTTTGATTCAAAAATTTGATGTCTCGAAATCCAGAAGAATTTTTTGAGCGACTGCTGATTCTATGCTTCTCTCTTTCCTCTCTCTCATCTTTATCCTTTTTGTCATGCTTGTCTCTCACCTCCCTCTCTGATCTCTGAATGTTGGTATCTCTTTCTCATCTCTGTCTCTCCATCTCTCTCTCTCTCTATTCAGGAGTTCAGATGATCTTTCATACTTTTCACCTTGAGAGTTCCCACGACTATTTACTGATCACAGAAGACGGAAGCTTCTCTGAACCCGTGGCCCGGCTCACTGGCTCGGTGTTGCCTCATACCATTAAGGCAGGATTGTTTGGAAACTTCACGGCCCAACTTCGCTTTATATCAGACTTTTCAATTTCCTATGAGGGCTTCAATATCACATTTTCAGGTATGTTGCTCTTTTTAACTGCTTCTCTCCTTTCACAGAAATACTTGCCTTTCTGTGTGCGTGCACACAGGTGCCTGCCTGGCTGGCTGTTTCCCTGTCTGTTTATAGGAAAATTGCCAACCACTGGAAGTCTGGAGACTAAGCCCTGCTAGAAACAGGGTGAGGAGACATCTGTCTGGCATCCAGAAAGTGTCACGTTGCCCTACATAATTTGTGAGTTCTTGTCCTGTTAGTAACTTCTCTTCAAAGACCCTTTTCCTTATTTCTCTTCATCAGTTCTATGAAAATCTCTGAGGAATGATTACCACGGGGCATACCTGGGATTAGTTGTCTTCTGATTAGGTTGTTTTTACCCTCCACTAGATGTTGCTGTTTGTACTAAGAACCATCCCTAGGATGACAAAAGATTGGGACACACACACACTGAGTATGAGCTTTTATTTTAATATAATCAGACACAGTGACAAAACCATTCTCCGGAGTTAATCAACATTTTAAATTAAATTATAATATATAGTTAATATTTGGATAAGGTCTATATTGCACCTGGTATATTTATATGGTTAGATTGTTGTATTTGTATAGTTCTATGATATAGGTACTAATTTTTTTTTGCATATTAAAAATTGCACATACTTAAGAACTGGTCAGGCATATATGCAAGATAAATTTGATCATACACATAATGCTCAGTGGGTAGACAGTACTCAAAAACTCTGTAAACTTTTTAGACAACCCTCCTCCCCAACCAATGGAAAGGTACCTACCATTCTACAACTACTGAAGGGTGTAAACAAATTAATTTTCCTTTGTATATCTGATGCTTTGGGGAAAAAATGTGTTTTTCTGCTTTGTTCTTTATATCCTAGATCTAATATAATTTCCATAAGATAGTCCCTTGCATATGATTTTTTTCTGCTTTTGTGCTCCCATAAATTCCTTTGTAATTTTTATAGCACTTATGAGATAATTTATTATAATTCTTGAGTACTTAGCTCCTATACTAAAATTAAAATTCTAGATAGAATCGTTTCTCTTTGTTCCATCTTCATATAGCTGGCAGCTCTGTTCTTATATCTTACACGTAATAGAAACTTAATTATTTACTAAATACTGCATTATATAAAATAAAATACTGTCTTTAAGAAAAATATTCTTTAGGGATTTAAAAATGCCCTCAACTCTTTGATAAGCCTCTAATTCTGACCAGTTGTCATTTATCTTAATCTGTGTTGATTTTTTTCTATTTCACTTACATAAGTGGAGCTTCCAAGATTGTCTCAGACTACTTGATGTCTCTGAAATTTGCTGTAATCAGCAGTAATCATGAAATTGGCCACTTTATATATATCAAAGAATTAAATCTTCCTAACACTAATACCTAAATACCTAAATTGAGACCCAGTGGATCTCAATTAGTATCACTATGAGAAAATTACTCCTCTCTGTTCTTACTTTTATAATGTTCCAAAATGAACTTAAATAGAATTCTTCAAAGAAAGGAGATGGCCATGACACAAGTCCATGGATCACTTACGTAGATGGTTCTTATGGACCTGCAATGTTTAGTGCACCCTGCCCCTTTTCTCAACTCTGTTGCTCTCAGCACAGCATTCACAGTAAGTCTTTAGATTACTCTCTTAGTCCATTGTGCTGCTGTAACAGAATATCTGAGATTCCATAATCTATTGGGTCATCAGAAAAGTCATGATATGTTTTTCTATGCAAAGACATGTCATGACTTTTCCAACCCAATTAAAAATATAAAAATAATAAAAATAAAATAAAAGCAGAAATTTACTTCTCAGAGTTCTGGCTCTCTTTCCCATTATACAAGATGACAGGTGAAAAAGCTTAGGAGCAGGATCTTAAGGAGAAGAATCCTGAAGCCAAGAAGGCTGATGCCATTGGCAAGGCTCTAAAGGGTGATCCCAAAACTAAAAAGCCCAAAAAGGGAAAGCCCCATTGAAGCCAAACCTGGTCCTAGTCCATGGGATCAGCAGATACTCCCAATCTGCCATGTGTTCCAGGAAGACCATGTACAAGAGGAAGCACTCAGTCACTAAATCCAGGACTGAAAAGTGAAAGAGTGAGAAGGTTCTTGCCACTGTCGCAAACTCAGTTGAAGGGGACAAGATGGTGGTATCCAGGTAGTTAAACACAAAATGCCTAGGTATTATCCTACTGAGGATGTTCCTTGAAAGCTGTTGAGCCACACAAAAAAACTCTCTAGTCTGCATGTGAGAAAGCTGTGAACCAGCATCACTCCTGGGTCCATTCCCATCAGCCCATTTGGATGCAGAACAAGAGAGTGATTTTCCTGAAGTAGCTGAGCAGTGGCTTGCTACTTGTGACTGGACTTCTGGTCCTCAACTGAGTTCCAATACATAAAACACACCAGAAATTTGTCATCACTACATCCACAAAAATTGATAGTAGCAAATTAAAATCCCCAATACCTCACTGATGTTTACTTCAAGAAAAAGAAGCTACCACAAAGCCCAAACACCAGGAAGGTGAGATCTTCAACACAGAGAAGGATAAATATAAGATTACAAAGTATTGCAAGCTAGAGCAGAAAATTGAACTCTCAAATTTTATCAAAAATCAAAGCTGTTCCTCAGCTCGAGGGCTACCTGTGATCCATATTTGCCCTTACAGATGAAGTTTATACTCACAAATTGATGTTCTACATTTCTTGCCAAGAACCTAATTAAATAACTGATACATCTATCTATCTACCTATTTATCTGTCTATCTATATCTATATAAGAGTTTTGGAGGCTGGGAAGTCCAAAGCTGGTAGACTGATACCTAGTAAGGACCCTCTTGTGTCATCATATGGCAGAAGCCAAGAAGGTCAAGAATAATTCAAAGCTGTGTCCTTGCATGACAGAAGAACAGAAGAAGCAAACCCATTCTCTCATGCCCTTTTATAACGACATTGATCATAAGGGTGAAACGCTTATGACGTGAATACCTCTCAAAGTCTCCACCTCCCAACACCCTCACCCAAGGATCTTATTTCTTGTATATAGGTTTTGGAGGACACAGTATGATCATAGCAATTACTAAAAGTCAGAATGTAACTCTAGAGCTGACTTTTTCTCTCATATATTCCTTAAACAATCATAACAAAAACAACAAAAGCATTCTTTCATGGATCTTCAAAGCTTTGGGGGGAAGCTTAAAAATATCTTTAAATGTTTAAACTAAAGTGGTAACAGTTTGTAAACATTTAGAATAATTCATTTCCATACAACCAGTGGAAAATAATACCTAAAATATTCAGAAGAAATCACTTTAGTCATGCACAAGCACAGACAATATTTTTAAAAACAAAAGAACACACCTTTGATTCCAAAGCTCTCTTCTCTTTTCAAGGTAAAGGAGTTCTCTAGATATACTAAAAGAATATTTCATCTGAAAGAATTTTTGCCTTGAAATAGGGCTGTGATTGATTGCCAGTGATACTTACACAATGGAGATAATTTTTTAAGTACCCAAATAAGTACAAAACATTTTATACAAAGTATTAACACTTTCAGAGAAATTTCTGCTGTTTATTAGTAATGTTTATATTTGACATTTTTCCTGTTAGTCTGGTTTCTAGTTTCTTTTATTTATTTATTTATTTATTTATTTATTTATTTATTTATTTATTTTTTGCCATAAGGCATGCATGCTTGCTCGAGAGGAGAGAGACAGAGAGAGACAGTGAGAGGGAAAGTGAGAAATCACCTCTAGGGGGGATGGCCATGCTGCAATCCGTTTTTCCCCCAATCTCCTCCTGGGATTTTAGACACACACACATGCCCAGTGTGATTTTCTAGTTGCCACTTCCAGGACTTGAACCATGGTTGACTATGTGGGAGTCCAGCACCTCAACCACATGCAGTATTCCTGCAGGTGTCAACAGTAGCATTGTGGGGAAAGGACCCCACGATGAAATATGTTCACATAAATAGTACAGCCCCTACTTTTTGTTTGCTTATGTACACTCAAAGCTTTCTGCCCCACTTCTGATGCTTCTACTTCTTGAATGGTAACTTTCAATGAATTCACATAATTTCCCAGTCATTCTCTTTAAAAGATGAGAACTTGGATAGCTCTTAATTTAAATACCTTTTTTTTTTTCATACTTCACTAGGCAAATTCCTTCCATGCAGGCTAAATATTACCTATTGCATACAATATTCACTCTCTTCCCTAAGAAGAACTTTATTTTTCCTCCTATATTTCCATTTATACATCTAAATTATGTATTTTCACCATAATTTTCTGAACTGTTCTGGGTTCCTATACCATTAGTTTTCAAATGAGGGTACTATGTCTTCTTCCATGATCAATCAACACAGCTTGGGAGCGAGAGAGTAGAACATAATTATTCTTCTATCATGTTGTAGTCACTCAGTAAATATTTGCTGAACACATACAGGAAAAATGGCTGGCATTATTCTAGGCCTTGGAATAATAAGCCACATAGCAGTAGCTAAGACACCAGCCTTCATGGGATCTGTATTCTGTAGGGAAGAGAACACTGGGAAAAGCTATGAGAAAAAAAATATTAGGTCATTGAAAGTGGTGTATTTTTGCATAGAAAAAGTATGTCATGATTTTCCCTACAACCTAATGGAATGGGTCAAGGGTATAAGATCAAAGATGCTGCTATCTTATACAGAAAGGTACCAGGTAAGATTGCTTTAAGAAAGAGAGAGAGCTGCCTGCATCTTGCTCACTCTGCATACTCCCACCCTGCTGTCTATCTGTAGGTTAGCCTAAGATTAGCCCTACATTTCTGGACTTTCCAGCCACCAAAGCAATTAGTCAATAAACCTCTATTTCTTCACAAACCTCCCAGTCTCAGCTATTTCTGCTAGCAGTGCAATTACAGAATTAGATAGAGGAAGAGAGAAAGAGACAGGAAAGAGAGAGAATGAGAAGTATTTGGATACAGTCTCACCACTCTGTGATCCTTGGTCCAGCCTCCCCATTAGCTAGAAAGATAAGCATGTACTACCATGGCCAGCCTGTTTAGGTTGGTCCAGGACCTAAACGAGGGCCTCTCCTGTGGCTCCGGCCTCATATAATAGCACCCTACCTCTTGTGCTGCCACAGCTGGGCCATTTCTTTCATTCTAGATGGGTTCTGTTGTTGGAAATGAGCCAAGAGACTGGATAAAGAAAATGAAGGGGTAAATTCTAAGAACAAAATCTTTGCATCAGATGAAAGATGGAATGCTGAAGACAATACATTTTTCTTGTGTTAATGAACTTTCTTGTGTTAATGAATTAATGGAATTTTATACAATTCAAAAATACAAGTATAACAGTGAATCAATGACACTTAGTATGAGAATCCTTATATAACCTAATAGAAGTGGATAAAATTCATGTACTAACACACCATCTAATCTCATGATACTGTATCAGGCTCTTCCAGCAGATGTCTTTTAGAGGATGCTTTGTGTATAATACATTTTCAATAATATTTGTGGACTTTAATTAAATCTTGTGGTTTTTTTGTCCTACTAAAAATGCATCAAATTTCCAAGTATACTTGAAGAATGGCCAGATGAATTTGAATATATTAGAGAACCAGAGTAGTTGTACCTAAATGAAAAACAGGACCAATGCACAAAGCATGTACCTCAGAGGTTGACCAGTATGTTAAGTGAACTGAAGAAAGAATTAGGGCAAAAATGGGATTTTGAGAAAATCTAAATATGAGATGCCAATGACTAGCCTGATGAGTAATGGAAATAAAGGATGAGATTTGAAAAATATTGAGGGAAAAGTATCTCAGTATAAGATTGGACTCAATATAGGTTGGATTTGATATTCATTGAGAATTTTACATCTGAAATTTAGAGTTAGGAGATCTGGAAAATAAAACAGTATGTGAAATCAAAACATTGAGGCAATCTTTAAAAAAAAAAAACTTTGGCATCGTTTTCTATATGTTTTTCTACTGCTGTGATCTAGAAAACGAACTTTTGCCTTCTCAGTCCTTTGCCATAATGTTCATCGTTTATTACCCTTCCAGTATCTCCTCTAAACTCTGCTTCTCATTCTAATCCCTAATGATCATTTATTTCTGGCATGTGGCCCAACTTATTGACATTATTCGACTGGGCATTATAAGCTGAAGAAATAGCAAGAAGGAGGAAAACATACAAATAGGCGTTCACTCACTCTTTATCAGTTATCACCATTAGAAACTGAATCTTAAATGCTTCGAGAGACCAATGACAGCCAGGGTATAATTGTATGCATATAATGAAGTCTAAAAGAGCTGGCTCTAAAAAAATGATACAAACTTTGAAAAGGTCGTTACGAGTATTAATAATTTGAATACTTATTTCCAAAATGTAAATACTACTTATGCCAGACAGTATATATCCCTCCATTTTTTACTGTATTTAACATTTTGTCCTTGAGTATTTTCTGTTATATTTCAATAAAAATTTGTTTCTAGATTGAAAATTGGCAGTGAAGCATTGCGTTTTTCCATAGTGAGTATATCTAAGAGGTGAAATTGGTCATGATACACTTGACAACAACATGATCCTTTGATGTTGCTTTAATCTAGCGCTGCATGTCTTGGTTTTAAAAAGTGCCTTTGAGAAGGGTACAATAACTGATTTTAGCAATTAGAAATATCAGCAAAATGATTTCAAAATCTTAAAGTGACGATTTTGAAGTGGATCACCTCATTTTAGTATGTATAAATTACATTACACACATACAGTCAGTCTATATACTATATATATA